GGAAACTATTTACAAATGGTCAGCAAGTAAATAGTTTTAACTTTCCTGGCCTCCTTGAAAAATATTTAAAATATTTTAATAATAATTATTGAAATAAGATTTGAATGTTTCAGAAACCGACTACCGAGACTAAGTTTGCTGCAAAAATAATTAAGTCGATTTCCTTTGTGACACAGAAATTCTCAAACAACTGGCCTGTGTTCTAAGGATATCAAGGTAGATTGTCCTGGTTGTCCTTTAAAAATTTTAACATTGAGAGCGCAAGTTATGATAGGTAACTTCCTATTTAGAGTCTTTCGGCCGAGTATTTTACGGGTTTCAAATTTACCACTATAGATCACAGTCACATGCATAAACATGAATATATGCTATCCTATAATGAGACTTGAAGGAATGCGGATTATCATAAGCTACTGATATTTTCCAGGAATCAAGTGCCCAGTGATAACTACAAGAGGAACTTGTTGTGTTTTCCCGTTTATCTACAAACGGAAACGGTATGACTCGTGTACAACGAAGAACCATGGAAAACGGTTATGGTGCGCAACAACAAGCAACTACGACAAAGATCGGAAATGGGGAACCTGTATAACCACTCAACCTAAGGGTAAGCGATATAATATATAACTGTTGTATAAACACAGTACCCTGGTTGCCAGAGGTTCTGTATCTTTCGCCTTATTCCCGCTCGTATTTATTTTACGCGAGGCAAAGAGAACCTCTGGTGGCACGCGATACAGATCTTACTTCCAAGCTGACGTTGCTGTTTGAGAACTTGCAAAACCGGTTTTATATTTTGTGACGTTTTTAAACTTCCGGGTTTGCCATACTACCAAAATAGCTCTGGCAGCCTTGTGTAAATTATTAAAAATAAGCAGCCCAAACATGTAGATTATTCATTTATAGAAACATGTAGATTATTCTCGCAACGCACAACGCAAAAAGCAACCTAGTAGATTGTTAAATTTGTGGAACGCCGCTTGTTAATAGCGAACGTATAAAGTCAAAAATGAAAGATTATAATATATATATATATATATATATATATATATATATATATATTCTAGAAATATTACTACTGTAAATTTTATTACCACTCCATTATTAATAGAGTGAACATGTCATGCCGTCAACTTAAGTCATGCCGCGATGGCAGCTCTTCTCCAGCGCAGAAAATCTTTTTATAGCGGAACAAACTAAGTTAATCTCAAATAACTAGTACTCACACCAAGTAAAACATTTTAATACGTTCGTATTATTTCTGTATATTGTTACATCATGTTCTCTGAGATTTATAAACACTAGGTTTTTTTGTCTAGCTAATCACATCACTTCATATGACTGCATGCCAATTACAACTAACCAATCATGTGCTTGGTACAAATTTTGCACCAAAGGAAGAGAGATTTGTATCGCGTGCCATCAGAGGTTCTCTTCGCCTCGCGTAAAATAAATACGAGCGGGAGTAAGGCGAAAGATACAGAACCTCTGGCAACCAGGGTATAAACGCAGCGGATTTAATTTAGAACAATTCTCTAAATTACCTTGTTTAGTAATAAAGGGAAAAATTAAAATGCAAAGAAAAGCAGTCATTTCAACAGCGAACTAAAATTACTCAATAATTTGAACTTATTTTGTTTCACTAAAAACAGTTCACCAAGGAGAAAAACCGTTCAGTTGAAATTTCGAAACATATTACAAAGCATTACACAAGCTACCGAGCATGGCATGCAAGTGCACATTCGAGCATTTTTTTTGTCCAATAACGTTTCGCTAACTAAAATTGTCTTACTCTCATGCAGTCTGGAGCATATATAACAGATTAAATTTAAAATGTTAATTAAAAGCTCACGAAATGCAAAATAACATACCTACACGATATATTTTGGACATTCATTATTGTATAGTTTAAAAGTACTAATCTTTCAACTATTTATTCCATCAGTTATATTAGCCGGCTAGTCCAAAATATATTTTTAAAATTAAAAATTATGGTATCGCTATGGCAGCACCAGTGAACTCTGATGGATATGGTATAACTAGAACGATAGCTCGGGCTTGATATTATAGAAGCCAACATTGCGGAAATTGAAGCTTGTCTTGTACGTATATAATTATGATCAATGCCCATACGCGGAAATTCATTAAATTCACTAATTCAATGAGGGAAAAACCGGAGATTCATATTTCCCAGCCAATTGCTTGTTAAGCTTTCCGGTCTTTTACTATTCCCTCAGGATACTAGCATAAGTGATCTTTCGGAATAAGTAAATTTGAGAAATACTTCATCATAAAAATAGCAAAGTTATCTCATGAGTGAAAAACAAGTGAAAAACATTAGCAAATTTTCGCTTTTTGGGCTATTTATGTGGGATTTGAAAAGAAAACAGACTAATATGTACTGAATTTGCATCAAACTTTTCTTTTTGTTTATATTTATGTTCATTTTTATGTTCATGTTCATGTTCATGTTCATGTTCATGTTCATGTTCATGTTCATGTTCATGTTTATGTTTATGTTTATGTTTATGTTTATGTTTTAGCATTTAGGTAGGTTTTAAGTTCAAAAACTGAGTATTTTTTGCTCAAAAATTGAAAAAAATCGATTGGAAAACTTTTAATTACTAATTTCTCAGTTTCCGCGAAACCCGCCCGAAAACACGCATTTTCTATACCTACAAGACAGCACTCTATGGACCAGTTTAGGCCGCAAAATATCTCGACTTCACCGAGTCATAGGGCAGTTTACCTGCAATTATCGTTTTAGTTATAATAGAGTTCACTGGACAGCACTTGACGCACAATGCGAGACTGCATGCGTTCAGTTTTCGCCAACTACTGAATACTTCATGTTGATTCAATGTTTGGAAAATATAGGGGGGGGGGGTGAATGCATGTAGTTCCAGTGCATAATATAGATATGTCTCGCAGGAAGCTTGTCAGCATAGGCGTCGAAAGATCGATAAGTGGGGGGGGGGGGGTCCGTATTCATATATTCGTGTTCACAGACCTTAAAAACAATCGATTTCAAAAGATCGATCTTTCGGCGTCTATGCTTGTCAGTGGCCGTTAATGTTTTAAAAATGCCAAAATTATAAACTGATTACTCAACAAACCATAGACGGATTTTCATATTTTTACTTGGGTGGTGCCAGAAATTTTACAGTGGTGAGCAGGTGAGGCAACACAAAGTGTCATCAAAATCATAGGCGTACGGGCACAATTTTATTTGGGGGGGGCAAACAAAATTTGCCCGAATTTTAAACCTGATGACAAAAAGTGCCCGAATTTTTATAATAAGACTTTTATTTGATTTTACAAATGAATTATCTATATTTTAACAAGTGCATTCAACATTTAAAGTGGAAGCCTGGCTAAGAGGTTTCACTTAGAAGAAATAGCTATTTCGTCCATTTCGTCTACCAAAAGTATCAATTATTTTAACCATGTCGTTCTTAATAGGGGTGTTTGTATTCCGAGTAATGAGTAATGAGTAATGAATAATGAGTAATGAGTAATGAGTAATGAATTTTCGTTCTTGCTTTGGAAAGATAAACCATGAAAACAATTCAGGGGCGGATCCAGGGGGTATCGAGTGTAGCTCCAGATACGGTCAGATTTTTCCGATTACGCATACTAAAATAGTTTTGGGGAAAAATTCAATATTAATATACCGGGTGGCGCAAAAAAAAGTTCACGCGTTTGATTTAGTACAGTGAAAAAACTATAAGTGTTACGTTCCTCAAATAAATGTTATCCTATCCAGGAAGGTCTAACTTAAATTTTGATGTATAACACATGCATTTTTGTTTAGTATTACCCAAGATATTGGTAAATCAATTTGAATATGCAATTTCAAAACGTTCCAAAATTAGCTGAAAATAGCCTATTAAATACGAGTAAAGGAATTAACGATATATGAAGAACACAACGGCAGTAAATAACGCGTTTATCATGGAAAATTAAATAACTATATTCTTGCACGTGTGACCATACTATCGAACGAATTAACGTTGGATTTATTTGCTGGTCAAAGTTATGGCAATCAGCAATAATCGCTTCACGAAGCTGTCTCAAATTGTTCGGTTGTTGATCTAATTTAATTCCCTGTAGCTATGGGACATGGATACTGCGAAGCAATTCTTAATTAAAAGAGCCATCTTTTTCGAAATTTTGTTGCTTTTCAAATGATAATAAAACAAATAAATAAATAAGGAAAATCATTTGTTACACGTTTCAATTCAAATTAAATTCATACAAGCGAATATGTCTGACGAAATTCTAAAATTTATCAAAACAGTTTAATAGGCCATTTTTAGCCAATTTGTCAGATTTTCAAAACTTCGTTCCAAATTTTATTTGGCGATATCCCAGTCAATATTGCACGTAAATAAGCATGCTATAGCTCAAAATTTAAGTTAGACTATTATGAATACAGCCACGTTTATTTCAGGGATGTAACCCTTATAGATTGTTCGCTGTACTAAATCAAACAGTTATACTTTTTTTTGCGCCACCCGGTATATATATATATATATATATATATATATATATATATATATATATATATATATATATATATATATATATATATATATATATATATATATATATATATATATATATATATATATATATATATATATACTTATACTATATATACTTATACTATATATACTTATACTATATATACTTATACTATATATACTTATACTATATATACTTATACTATATATACTTATACTATATATACTTATACTATATACACTTATATTATATTCCATCTATACTTATATGGCAAGTCATTTGAAATGGAAACCGATCACCGCCCACTTGAGTACATATTCAAACCCAAATCAACCGGAAAACCAGCGCCAGCACGAGTAGAAAGATGACTACTTAGATTACAGGAATACGATTTCACCGTGATATACAGACCAGGTCCACAAAACCTAGCTGATGCACTTTCTCGATTACCCAACAAGACCCCGAGAAGTAATATGGAAAGCTGTGCAGATCGATATGTCCACTACCTCGCAGAGCAGTTAACGCCTATTGCCATGAACACTGAAGAGATCCAAGAACACTCGAAAACTGACCCCGAATTGATTCTAGTTCGACAATGCATCGAGAACAATCAATCCCATAAGCTTCCACCACAATACAAACCCCTTGAACAAGAATTGAGCATCGTAGACAATATCATACGACGTGGCAATCGAATTATCCTGCCAACAAAATTGCGAAGCAAAGCAATCAAATTAGCACACGAGGATCATGTGGGTATGACGAAAACGAAACAACGCATCCGCTCTAAGTTATGGTGGCCCAACATGGACAAGGACATCGAACAACACATTCGAACATGTCATCCTTGCCAAATCGTAGGAAAACCAGACAGACCAGAACCGGTACAATCTACCAAGCTTCCAGATGAACCGTGGACAGAGCTTGCAATTGATGTATGCGGTCCATTCCCTACAGGAGAATATGTAGTTAGCCTCAACGACTATTACTCAAGATGGCCCGAAGCAACAATACTTCGAACAGTCACGTCAGCGAAAATCTTAGAATGGCTCGACAATGTTTTTGCAACACACGGATATCCTAAACAAATCAAGAGCGATAATGCCAGTTATTTCACATCGCAAGAATTCAAGCAAACCCTAACTTCCTGGGGAATCCAACAACATTTCATCACACCATATTGGCCTCAAGCGAATGGTAAAATAGAGAGATTCAACCAAGTTATACTCAAGCACGTCCTTACCTCAAACACAACTGGAAGAGATTGGCGAAAATCCCTACCAATGATGCTGCGAAACTACCGTACAACGCCTCATCAATCCACCGGAGAAACCCCAGCGATGATGTTGATGCATCGGGAACTTCGTACCAAACTACCAAGTGTAAAATCATGTAAATCGTATGACGACACGAGAGCTCAACAAGTGGACGCCAAAGCAAAGCAACAAGCGAAAGAATACGCCGACGGAAAACGGCGAGCTCGGGAAAAAGATTTCAAAATTGGAGACAAGGTATTGCTGCGTCAGCGGCATACGAACAAATATTCAACACAATTTTCCAGCGTTCCCTTTACCATCATAAAGATTATTAGATTAACGGTTCGCATTAGAACTTCAAGATCAACACGGACAAAAGTACAAACGTAACTCAGACCATGAGCCGGCTGAAGGAAAAGACGAAGAAGATGATACGGAACACCCCGCGAATGAACAGGTCCCACAACAAGTCCCTCAACCAGAAGAAGAAACCCCACCACAACCAGAACAAGTAACCCAACCACTCCCTCATTCTCAACAACCCCTATCCGTCCACTCACCACCCAGGAAAAGATCAGCAAGAAAAACAAAACTACCTGAACGATTTGGATATTAGTAATATAATATAAGACTTTAAAAACAGTTCCATAGTTAACTATTAACTGAACAATATTAAGTAGTTACATTCACATTTTGTTCTTAGAAGAACATTCTAAACAGGGGAGGATTGTCGTATCGTAATTAACTATATTATTAATTAACTTAGCACTAATACTCACTAATTTATATCAGTAATTATTATCATAACTTAACATAATTAACAGTAGTTTTCCCATATATCTTGTAAACAAAGTAGAGTTGATATGTATTAAAATATAAAGCAAGACACGAAAGCACCACTGTACTTAGGGACGGACCATTAGAAAAGTGATGGGGGGGGGGGGG